GATGATATGTGGGTAATGTTCTCTAGTGCTTCACAATTGTGAGGTTGCTAGAGATAGAAGAAAGTGATGGTAGTAGAGAAGAATAATTACATTCTTAGCTTAAATAAATGGTGACACAACATTGTGACCTTTATAGTTTAACATAACCTTCAGGAGGATAAAAACAAAAAATGGATGGTTTGACTTAACACCGCTTATTTTCTTAACTGATGTATATAAGTCATGTTTACATCTAGCCATTGAAAAGCAATTCATTGTTCAATTCAAACTCAAACTTTTTTTACACAAGTTATTTCAATTATAAAAATTTATTATAATAATAATCTCTAACACACTCTAATGCAATAGCCTTTCAAGATGGTGGTATTTTAATATTTTTATTAAAATCATATGGTATTTGGTGAACTTTTGATATAAGGTTCATGGGTATTTTTGATCATTAATCTTTCCATTTTAATAGGGTGTATTTTGGTACTTTCATTAAAAATATCATGGGTCCTACTGGCAATTCTAATAGACATTTGTTTTTAATGGTGTTGGTATTATTGGGCTCTTTTTAGGCTTGGATTGGTGGATTTGAATCCAAAGAAAGTTCATGGTGTTGGGTAAACTTTGGTATATTGTCATGGATATTTTTTTATCCTTAGCTCAAATGAACCCAAATTTCATGGGCAAAAAAGTATATTAACCCTTTGAAATTTTAATATCATCATTTTTAATAGTGTTAAGGTTAAAATACTAAAAAGACACTTTATAAAATTAAGGGATCAATATAAAACATTGTATAAAGTTAAAGATTAAAAGTACGGTTAAGGTGCACCCCAATCCTGAATTACTTTTTAAGGTGGACCCAACCTTCAAAAAAGTTTAAAATCTTTAGACCTTTTAAGGATATTAAGCGTCCATTTAGATTGACAATAAAATAAGTATTTATTTTCAATTTAGCTTTTAAAAAAATTAAATTGGGTAAATTAATTTATGTTTTGTTACCAAAAAAAAGTGATTTATATTGAATTGAGTCTAATAAAAATTAGTTTGTAAAAGCAGAAAAGTTGTTTGGATTGGTTTGTAAATAATAAGTCAGTTTATAAAAGTAAAAGTGTTTGAATCATTATTTTAAAAAAGGTTTAGTTGTAAAATAATTGAAAAGAACATAAATTTTATTAAATAATACTCATTTTAGTTTAAAATACAAGCATCAAATAACTAAATCACACAACTCAAAAAATTAAAAATATTTAATGATTTAACCAACATTCCTTATTTTGTGAAAAAGTTTAACTAACATTTTATATTATGGATTAAAAAAAACTACTCATCAGGTCCTTTTATAAATCACTTTCAATATATTTCACATAAACTAAGAAATTTCTTAAACTTTATTAACTCTTATTTAAAATTCAACAATTTTTCAATCCTTATTTAATATAAATTATACATCATGAAAACAAAGTTAACATAATAATAAATGAAGCGCTTATAAAAAATAATAAATGAAACATAAAATTGTACATTTAAAGAAAATTTTCTCTTCGCCTTATAAATAAGACAATTTTTTTTCTTTGTCTTATAAATAGGACATTAGGAGTAACATTTAATTCATTCTCTCTTAATGGTTTAACTTTTCTCTTCATGGTAGTAAATTTTTTAAAGGTATGAACCACATTTTTTCCCCCTCACCACAAGCATCAAATTTTGACTTTTGACTTAATCCTGCGTTTTTTTTATATAAGCTCTTAATATTTTAAGTTATTCCAAACATAATCATGCCATCACTCCAAACAGACACTAAATGGGTCACCGGTGGTCATTAAATGGTTAAACTATTTAAGTGACTCTGAAGTAAAGTATCATGAACTGCATGAAAAAAATTGTTGGGTTCTAATATGGGAAGGCACTTGTCACCATATTAATTTATGAACCTAATTATTTAATCCGTATGGGATGATTTATAATTGGAGTTACACGTCACAAAAACACATTTTTATCGGCCATATGTATGCCTTTTTCCAACGCGGCTTTTCTCCTTTACCCTTATCATCTGGTGCTGTCTTCTACCTCTAAGCTACGTTTTGAGTGAAAATGAGAGAGGGGATGAATCCTTTTTTTTTTTTTTTTTTAATATCCAGCACCTTGCAATATTTTTTTTCAGTGTCATTCAATATCATACTGTCATAAATTAGTTATTAGTGCAATCAGCATTTAAAATATTTTTCTTGTGACACCCACTTAACCCTCGTTACTCTGAATTATTTTCTAGTGGTATCCAGTAACCTAATTATGTTTCAGTTATATCCAGTATCTGGTATCTATCACATTGAGGTATTTTTTTTAGTAGTACACAGTATCCTAAACTAATTTTTAGTGCATTTAGTACACTAAAATATTTTTAGTAATACTTAATATCTTAATATAATTTTTGGTTCAATATTTTAGGATGTTGGATATATTAAAATTTAGTTTAAACTGCTCGATATTACTAAAAAAAAATACTCTAGCATGCTGGATGCCAGATAGTGGGTGTTATTGAAAAATATTTTAATACATATTGTGGACCAAAAATCATTTTAAAATATGATGCTACTGAAAAATATTTTAGGGTGTCGGATATTAGATAATAGGTGCTACTAGAAAAATATTTCTGGATACTGAATGTACTGATAATTAATTTCGGATATTGAATGACACTGAAAACTATTTTAGGGTACTAAATAGTTTTTTGAAAAATTCAAAAGAGCATTCATCCTCTCTCATTTTCACTCGAAACGACGTAGCTTGGAGGTAGAGGACAACAGCGGGTGATATGAGTAGAGGAGAGAAGCCCCGTCCGTCTTTTCTCTTCTCTCTGGATTCTTCTTTTTTTCTTTTTTTTTTTCCTTTTCATTTTCAGTTTATCTCACTCTTTCTCTGTTGATCAAATTAGCTGAGATGATGCAGTCCTTATCAAATTACAAGGGTTCATACTATCATGCAATATCATAGGTGACAACACAAACACAACTATAAATATATATATATATATATATATATATATTATGACATGATTATTTCCAGTCTACCTGAAATCGCATTGTGCAGAGTATCATGCAAACTATTACTTCCAGTCTGGAACTCTCTATATATAAACATAAAATAAGATTTTTTACTCATGCTAAAAATCATAGGTGACAACACAAACACAATCTGGTATCTTGAGAGCCAGGCTATTTTTTAGACACAACACAGATTTAAACTAATTTAACATTCTCACACATCGAACTCGAGACCTGTAGTTAAACTAGAACAGGCCTGACCAGCTGATCTAATCGTTGGGGTTATAAGCCACAGCACTTTGATCTCATAAACTATTCTATAGAACGCAACCAGGTATACCAGCACTTGACCTTCTTTAGTAAATCTAACATAAAGTTATGTAGCTAATGAGCACTGCAATCTTTTAACAGAGTGAACCTTTGACATAAACAGAAGAAAGCACGTTGGTATATGGGACACGCACGTGCATGATACATATACGATATATATATATATATATATATTTATGTATATAGGAAGTTGATTCAAACCTTCTATTCTGGACTATCACTGATAAAACTAGACAGCCAGAATAAGGCCAGGGACAGACTCATCACAAAGTTTGCTCTGCCAAATGCATTGACACGTGGAAGAAAACAACGGAGGAGGAGGAAGAGGAGGAGGAGGATGGCGATGATGACGGAGAGGCGGAGCTGCCTCCAATCCCGAGCTGCTCCGACTCTCCGATACCGAGCCGCGTGACGGTGAGGGAAGTATTCAGATACTCCCTGACCTGAGTGATTACCCCATCAGTGAGAGTCCAAGCGTGGACCCACCACACCAGATTGGCTTCGTCGAATCCTTCAGCAATCACCACCGACCCAAACCCTACCACCACATCAGGAACCAAAACGACGACGGATTGCTTTGCTTCCTCCTTCCCGGCGAGAAGAGGAAGCAGATGGTGACGATGGCTTGGAGGGCCATGGAACCACCATTCCAAGTCAGAAGCTAGAAGACGGTGGAGAGTATGGGTCTCTGTGGCGATTAGGGCTCTGTATAACTCAGTGACAACCCTTTTGTTTCTCTCCTCTTCCTCTTGAAGCCATGGCTCTGAGTTTGCCAGCTCGAACTATATGGGTTTTTTCGGCCTCAAGAGCTATATGGGTCTGTGAGAAACTTGGAATGCAAGTGAATGTGATGTGTGGGATGCTTTATATTGGAATTGATCAGTAGTGGAGGAGAGAAAATGTTTGCCTGAAATGGACGGTTGAGGGACCTACGTGATAAGATTTTAGATTATTTGCAAACCACTAATGGCTGCATGCCTGCAATATTATACGTATTTTTGTAAAGTTATTGTATCACGGGGTGTGTGAGGGTATATAGAGGTAAAAAAGTTTGTATTTGGATGTTAGAAACAACATCATTTTCAAACGGTAGAATTGTATAATCGAAAGCTGTTAATTTTCCTCCACAAAGTACTTCCAAAACTCATCAGCCTTGCGATTTTCATCTTCTAATTGAGCGTTCACGATTCTCAATTCTAGCAATAGTATTCATACTTATCAGATAGTACCTTGATCTCAACCTTCAATTTGGTTTTGTTCCCAACCAGGTCCCTCATATGAACATAATCAACCATATGAAATGCAGTTCACAGATTCAAAGTCAACTCTATTATGCTAATTAGCTTCATTAAATAAGAATCTTCCCCCTGCCGTCCAAAGCAACTAGTGGGGCAAGCCATATTTCATTTTAATGCTAGAAGGATTGAGACGGAAAAGATCAGTGAACCTAGCTTAACCTAATAGTCGTTGCCTTCGACTTTAGCTCTGCTTGCGAAAGGAATCAAGAATCAGAGCATGTGAGTGTTGATGCTTCAGTTACAACCAAGGGACCCAATACTTTAAAAAAAATCATCTAACCCCTCTAGGGACGGTAAGAAGAAAGCAGGCGAGCAAAAAGAAACATAAAAAAAAAATGGTGGAAGCTTAAAAAAAACCTAAAGAAGAATGGGTAAGGAAATGAAGAAGACAATGGACTCGTAAGTGTCTCTTTGTAAAAGATTGAATTGTTTAATTAGATTTGTATATTTGCGATTATGTTACAAATTAATTGCAATATTGTTGGAATTTTTGAGAATATTGAATTGTTAAATTAGAAAACTGGAATTACATTGATTGCAATTGGAATTTTTGGACTGTCTATTGAATTTATATTACATTTGGATTTTAAAATGTTTAGAAGGGGTGTTAGGGAAAGAAAAGCATATATAATAAAAATAATCCACTTTTTAGATCAGTTAAGGTAAAAACCGGTCTAGACCCATTGTACAATTCTATAACCAGTTATAAAGCATAAGACTTTCTGAAGAGGCCTCATCTAAATAATTCTAGGTCTAATCTAGAAGGTCATTTCTAACCAGTCTATATAAACATTTTGTACTAGCTAGTGGAGTATCAATAATATAACTTATATATTTTTTCAGAATAAATTTTGATTTTTAAATTATTAATTATCACTTTATGCTATGAATTGAGAATTTCAAATATCATTTTCCCCATGCTGTGTTTTCCACTTGACAAACCTCATTACACCATGAAATCTAGGAGTTTAAAGTCTTGAGATGATGCATTTGATTATTTGATGCCAATATTAGGATGGACAAACCTCTATGCTTGATGTATTTTTTTCAATTAAACTAAGATAAGTGGATTTTAAAAATCATTAAAATTATTAATAATTAATAAGTGCTAGTTACGATAAATTATGGAACAAAATACCTCAATGCTAATTTAAAGACCTACCTTTTGTTTAATGTTGTTGGGTTCAACCAGGGAAGGTAGTTTTTTTGCCACCATATTTTTAAGAAATAATTATTACTTAATTCGATTGCATGCATAATTGGACTCATAGGTCACAAAACACATAATTAATTAGTGGCCATGCGTCTTTCCCCATTTGACTTTTTCTTCGGATAATATAAAAATTGTTTCCATATATTGTCTCTTTTACTTTTGCTTTTTGCCACCTCCATAGATATTATGATAAAATATAATTACGTAAATGAATGGTAAAATCACAAACTTTTTCTATTATATTTTATTTCCCCATTTGCATATCTTTTTCATATTTTGAACTTCCAACACTAACATTTGTCTTCTTTATTAGCCTTGTGGGTTGCACCAGTTAGAATTTTAATGTCCCAAGGTTCTAATCCTACCATATGGCCTAGACATGAAAAGACAATAAAGTATGTACATTAAACACTCAAGTGATTATTATCATTTCTTCAATTCATTAATATATGTTTTTTAACTTTTTAAAGTGCCCAAAACAAAGGCCAAATTGGGTGGAATGTGGATATTCACTTTATATAAAGGCTAGTTAATATATGTATACATGTTATTAAGCTTCACTTTGTATATAATAACGAGTTTTAATCAACTAATTTTTCTTGGTCATTTTTATAGATGATGCTCAAATAAATACGATGTTGTGGAATAGTGTTGTCAATACATGTTCCAAGTCTGACTTTGCAAAATGCGGCCAATCGCCAATAAGTAGCACTATATTTTAATTTCTAAATAGGGCCTTCATCAATGTAGGATTAGCGTATAAGTTTCAAGAATTCTGTATAAACTAAGAATTGAACCCTTGTAATTGGAATTGTTGCTTTTGTCGCAAGATTTGAACTTTGTAACTTGTTACTTTTGGAATGAATTGAAATTAGTCATTGACAGTCATTTTTGGCAGCTATTCTTTATAGGGAAAATTAGATAAAAATCTCCCTCTCACAAATTAATTAGGAAATAGGACCTATGATAAATGTAAAGGTGTGGGCCCCTTAAGTATCAATGTGATACAATAAAGACTATATTACCCAAATGGATGTTAATTGCATATGACAGATCCTAACTTGCATGGCATGGATTATCATTTACATGTGATGGATCTTCAATTGCATATGATGAAAGTTCATTTGCATATATGAATCATTGCGTACAACTTATGCTTACTTGCATATAGATTTATTGTGTAATATGAATGCTAATTGCATACAATGGTTGCTCACTTTCATATGACGACACTACTAGAAAAAAGACTTTTAACGCCACCAAATAATAGCGGTTAATCAGAAAAATGATGTGGAAAAAAAGATTGTGGTATTTTTGTAAATAAGTTGATTAAGTGTTGATTTTCCACGGCACTATTAAGAAAATTGCCATAGAAAGTATTTTTAACGGCGGTTATTTATTTTTAACGGTAGTTATTTAAATAACCATCGTGGAAAGTTTTAAAATAACCCTACGCGGCCCGTTTGTTTTCTCTCATTTTCACTTTTGTTTCAGTGCGCCGTGGTCCCCCTCTGTTCCACCACCAAAAAACTTCCATTACCAGCCATTCCCCCACTCCCCTACCGTTTAAACTCCTCCATTTAGCTTGTGGTGTCTTGTCGTCGTCCGCCGCCGTTTGAACACCCCTCTTTTCACATTTGAATCATCTCTACTCTGTGAGTACCCTCTTCTTTCATTCTTTTCAATTTTTCTTGGTTTCTTGAATGTTTTGACCATAAAAATCTGTTGTATTTTAAATGGGTTTGTTAGTTTTACATTGTGGTTGGCTTGTGTTGTTGATTTTGTGTTTTTTATGTGCTTGAACCGTTGATTGGTAGGCATTTGGTGTGAGAAAACATCAATTCCTTCCTATATACTGTATTAGAAATATGTTTAAATGTTTGAAGTTGATTAGTTTTGAGGTTTTTGATTTTTTTATAATTTTTTGATATTTATTTCGAATTTTTGGTATTTTTTTGTAATAAATTTGAGAATTTAGTAATAAATAATCTGTTTGGTATTTTGTAACTTTTTTTTTTCGTTATAGACTTTGATTGATAATAAAGTGTTGTTTAAAATTTCATTACAAATGGATATCATTTGTGTTCCCGTTTTGAATTCAGAAGTTTTAGCTTTAAGAATCTTTATTTATTGAATTGGTTTAAAATTAAATTTTTATTTTGTTTTATTTGTTATATTTCTTCAAATTTATCATGTTGAAATATGTTATGAAGAATAGTTTTCTTTGTTGATTAAAAGAATTTTTGTTTAACTATTTCACAAAACTTATATATGTTTGTTTGATTTTTTTATTTTATTAACATTTCGTTCATTCACTATATATACTAATTTTTAAGAAATTAATTAATCTAATTTTTAAAAATAATTATATATTTTACTTTTTTATTATAATATATTTAATAAGATAAATAGGAGTTGAGAAAACTTTAATTTTGATTAAAAATTTTGAGTTTTTTTTCTAATTTGGTGTTTAATTTGTACATAGTTGTTAAGAGAAAATTTTGTCAAATTTTTTTATTTTTAAAAAAGAGACATTCCCTTTAATTTGTAATTAAGTGTTAGTCAATTTTAATTTATTGACTAACATTTAATGATTTTATTATTTCAATATTTGAATAAAGGAATTAGAATTGAACTTGACAACTATGTTCATTGACTCTATAGAACAATAAATCGTAGTTGGATGAAAGCTAAGAGAATTAACAAGGAATATGAGGATGAGGTTGAAAATTTCTTGAGTTTGCTCAAAGAAATGCCCCTAGTAAAAGAAATGGATTGGACTCTTATCCTTGTGTCAAATCTTTAAATAATAGTTAATGGAGTATTTCTGAGATAAAAGAGCATCTTATCTGTGATGAGATAAATTTGAGGTATACAAATTGGATATGACATAGAGAAATTAGAAAGACTACACTGTCTGCGAAGGAGAAGGTTGTGAATGAAGACTTTGGTGATAGAATTTTGGATATGTTTCGTGATATAAGGTATGAATCCTCTACACAGTTCTCTCCCACTTTTGAAACTTTGTGTAGTGATGCAGAGACACCTTTATACCTAAGGTGGATTTGAAATATGAGAAGATACATGCGTGTCCTAATAACTGCATATTATTCAGAAATGATTATCAAGTGTTGAATAAGTGTCCTAAATGTGGGATTTCAAGATACAAAGTGAAGAAAGATGATGGTGATTATAATAAGATGACCAAAGACTCTCCTTTAAAGGTTTGTGGTATCTTCCAATAATACCATAATTTAAGCATCTATTTGCTAATGCCACAGATGCAAAGAACTTGAGATGGCATTTCAATGAGAAAATATGTGATGGAAAGTTTCATCACCTAGCAAATTCTCCTCAATGAAAAATAGTAGATCAAAAAAATTTTCAATTTGGTGGCGAGCCAAGAAACCTTCAGCTAGGGCTTTGCACGGACAGAATTAACCCATATGGTAATCTTAGTAGCACACATAGTGCTTGGCCAGTGCTCCAAGGCATTATCACGTGTTGATACAACAATTACTTCCACTTGCTATTCAAGGCATTATGAAAACTGATGTGAGAAATACTATTATAACACTTTGTATGTTTTTTAGTGCCATTTGCAGCAAAGTCATTAAGCCTGCTGAGTTGGATGAATTAAAAAATGAAGGTTATGTGATCCTCTCCCAATTAGAAATGCATTTTCCTCCATCATTTTTTGATATTATGGTACACTTGATAGCTCATATTGTGCGAGAGATAAGACTTTGTAGCCCTATGTGTTTAAGATGGATGTACTCTTTTG